AAATAGTTATAGCACCGTGTCCAGGTGGACTGAAGGCAGCCTCCCATATAAAGCTAGATACATCATCAAAGACGTGGCGGGCGAGAAAAGAGCATGCTGGATCGCTTACTTGCCACGGCAGGGGGGCGCTAGCGAGATCACAGCCGCTCCTGCGCCCTACTCTGTGACAGATACCATTAAAGTGACATATTCAGTTATTGGTGCCAGTACTGAAAAGGTTGTAATGAAATAGATATTATTCAGCTCTTCCTACTGAGGAGGGCAAAATGGAAGAGATGGTAGAAATAAATGCATAACATAAGTACTAATGGTGCTGGAAACAACATTGGTCCAAAATCCACAAATGAGAATCAGGAGACCTGGATTCTTTGTTGGGTCCACTACTTACTTTGACCCCAAACAAAGAAAACTAAACCATCCCTCAGTTTTCCTAGATAGGTAATGAAGTCCATGATAACCATGTTCTTTTCAATTAATAAATTGTAAAGTGCTTTTACAAAGTGATACAGGGATTTTTAATGGCCCTTTTTGGCTTCAGGCAAATCCTTATAGTAAAGTATACTTAAACAATATGTTCAACATTTTATTTTACTAAGTAATCATCGTCCTGAAGTGAATGGATATTGCAAATAAAAACCTCAGCCCCTGAAACTTGGAGGGGTTTTTTCTCGTTAGGATAGGAGCAGAAATGTCACATCCCGTAAACTGCTTTAGTTAAGAAACCACAAGAGGGTGGTGATCTAACCACCAGTGGAGTCATCCCAAGGGACCATGAGAATTCTGCCTATGTTGTGTTTTCATGGCAGAAATCCTAAATTCATGCTCTTCAAGGTGGATTTCAAGTGTTATCGAACAAATGGTACTAAATTGCCTGGCTGGAGAACTGTTTGCTGTGTCAAAGCTTTTTGCCAAACACACACACGCACACACTTTTTCTCTTTGCCGTACAGATAATCAACCCCAGATGGCAATTTACATAGGCAAGAGCGTAAAGGAATCCATGCACTGCTGGTGCGCTTGGCCTCAATCAGAGCAAGCTTGGGCGTTTGAGAATGTCACTGTTTATTTTTAATTGCTGTGTCCCTCCTTTGTGCAGGTTCAAGCGGTCAGAGATGTCGAAGTCCATTAGTAGAACTGGAAAGTGATGCCACTTTATTTGGTGAGAGGGTTCCTTAAATTTAAAAAGCAGCTGGTTTGCAATGTCCCTATATGCCCAGTGGGCACCAGCTGTCAATCTCAGTTACCACAGGGTCAGGGCAAATAAAGGTCAGTAAGAGTCACAAACCTCAGTGTGTTGTGAAATGTGCTTCCTCTATTACCTTGTAGGCCTGAGAGAGGTTTGACCTTTCATAGGTATCCTAGCCTAGTCTGACATGGGGCAAGCAAGAGTGAATAAGTGCAGTACATAGAGATTTCCTTTCTCTGTACCTCAGCTCCCTTACCTGTAAAATGGGAATGAATACCAACACTTAGCACCAGCACCTCCAGAGGGTAGTATCAGCAGAGTAGTAACTGTGACAATCATCAGACAAGACAGAGGAAAGTCATGCTTTGCCTCCATGGAGTGTTACTGAAGCAAGCTAGTAAAAAGATTAATTAACCCTAATCAGCTGCTTCAGAACCCAGAGAGGGACATTGCTAAATGCAAAGTGGTTTGTCTTCTGCCTCCCCACACTGCTTATCCAGAACTTAGCCCATTTCATTTCTCCCCAATATCTCACCCTGTTGGTTCAAGAGCCATTCTCCTCCTCTAGTCCCTCTGACACCCTTTTCTGCCTATGACCCCAAAATCTCATAACAAACTTCCCTATTACCTACCTCTCCAAATAAAGCTGATAAAATAATGTTCAAGTTATTCAATGTATTTTGTATTTTGGGTATTTTACATATTGTCCAAAATCACATGATGGAATTCTCAAATGTATTTATCCAGAATTATTCTCAATTTTCTGGAGCCAATAAATTTTTGGATTAGAGATCATCCAAAATGCAATTTCTTTCAGATATAGCAGTTCATATTCAGTTGTGAAATCTGAATTGTACACTGTTCTATCACTATTGTAAAAAGAATAAATCTTCTGAAAATATACTGTCCAGCATTGACTTCTGGCTAATGGTCAGCTACTTTTCCCTTATTGAGAGTCATCCATCCGTCCCCCTCTCTGTTGTGGAGCTGGAGGATGGGAAGGGTGGAAATGAGACACTCACCTTCAGGGCGGGAATCTCCACATTATCACCTAGGCTAACAGAGCCAGTAAGAATAGTCCCTGTCATCACTGTGCCTTGACCCTTGATAGAGAAACAGTGATCAACTGCCATAAGGAAGGGTCCAGAGGGATCTCTTGATGGCAGGTAAGCCTGAGACTTCAGGACCTGAAAGACAGACAAAAGCAGCACCATGTATGGGTGAAATGTCATGACAGGAATGAAGGAGTGGAAAGCCAAGGATACATTCAACTAGCTTGCAGTTTTACTGATTTAAGGAGTCCCCAGACAAGCTTGGAACAGACCAATGTCAAATTAACTGGGCACATTATAGAGAAGAGGTACACTTTGCAGCAGGATGGGTTTGATTTTCTGCCTTAGAAAGATTTTGAGCTGCACGTTCAGCTTGGTTAGCAAAACTGGGTTGAGATAAAATTGCTGCAAACTCAGTACAAACAGTGCAGCAAGAGGATGAATAAAAAAAAATCTTGTTCTCATACACTAAAAAAACAAAACAGTGCAATTTTATGCTGCACTTTACTATTCTCGCTTCTCTGATTTCAAGAGCAGTGACTTCTTGAAAGATTTTTAAATGCTCAAGAAAACCCATCCCTGTTTCTATCCAGGAAGAAATATCAAACTGCCAATAGGCAAGATTTCAAATCAGACTTTAAGATTTACATTAACATTTTTTAAAGGATAAAAATAGCTGTCTCTCAAAAGTAACATCTTCATCCAGATCTGGTTAAGATTTTACCATGACTAAAATGTCACTGCATTGCAAACAAGGAAAGTAGTTAAAACATATATCAGAAAGGAGAGAAGACATTAATTACTGTTGCCTGTGGCCACCTAGCTAATATTAGTTCAGGTGAACTGGTTCAAATCTTGTCTCAAGTCCAAAGAGAAAAGAATTATTTGATCCTTGTCCCCATCACAGGAGCTGCTGTTAGTACCTGCTTATAAAAGGTTACAAAGACAGGGATGGCCGGTCATGACTGAGTTGCTCAAGTGAAAGAATGGAAGCTAGGCCAATAACTGGAACAGCACTTGCCTGCTCTTCCAATACTAGTAGGATTTCCTTGAGCAGCAATTATGCCCAAATAATGCAGTTTGGTTGGTAACATGGGTGTGTCCTTTACCAACAATCTTTTTAACACTATGGAAGTGGCTTGTCTGTCAGGAGTACACCTTTTGCTCTTCTGCACAATTTTTGCCAGGAAGGATCTGTCCCGGGAATAAATCACAGCTGTACAGCAAAGCAGAATTGTCTGCAGGAGTTTCCTTCATTTTATGCAGGGAGTGGAAGTTGTGCAATGAACAAGGTAGATGATTACACAAGAGAACATGGTTAAATCAGTTAAACGCTCCCCAAAAGAAACTTGATCCTATCCCGGCTTTTGCCACAGCATAATTAAGTGCTCCTAGACAACAGGGCTGTGTGAAGCTTCGGACCCTGATTCAATTTGGTGGAGATTCGACCCAATTCAGTGGCTGAATCTCCAAATCCAAATCGCAAATCAGGAGACCATTTACTCTCTCCAAATCAAATCAAAACCTTCCAATTCGTGGTGCTCTGGTGTGGTGCCGGAGGACTGGAAGAG